ACATAGATATCTAAAAATTCGTTTTAAGGCACTTAGATGTGATTTTTTAGGATTTGATTGAAATCTAACACATAAGCAAACACTAAATATAATATCGGGTCTAAAAGCGGTTAAATAAAGGATAGATCCGATCATACTTCGATATTTTGTTTATGTCAATTGAAGTATCTTGCTCATCTTTATCCAATTTAACTAATGAACTCATTCGAGTATTCATTGGCTCAAGTCTTCAAAATCACGTTGCTTGAGCATGTCTATGATGTGCTTTGTTTAACTAATGAAGATGTCTTCATTAATTTGTTTGATTTGAAGTCCAAGAAAGAACTTTAGTTCTCCTATCATACTCATTTCAAATTCCTTGCTCATACANTACATTTAGAAAATTCTTCACAAAAGGAAATATTAGTTGCACCAAAAATAATATCATCAACATAAATGCGTACGACAATCATGTCATCTCTTTTGATTTTGATAAAAAGTGTGGTATCTGCATTTCCCGTTTGAAAACCATTTGAAATAAGAAATTTGCTCAATCATTCATACCAAACTCTAGGAGCTTGTTTCAAACCATATAGAGCATTTTTAAGTTTAAACACACTTTCTGAAACTTTGTGATTTTTGAAATCGGGAGGTTATTCAGCATAAATTTCTTCTTGAATAAAATCATTTAAAAATGCACTTTTGACATCCATTTGATGGAGAGTAAAACATTTATGGCAAGTAAAAGCAAGAAGCATGCGAATAGATTCTAATCTAGCAATCGGTGCAAAAGTTTCTTCGAAATCTACACATTCTTCTTGATTGTAAACTTGGGCTACTAATCTAGCCTTGTTATGCACAATTATACTTTTTTCATCTCATTTATTTAGAAAACCCATTTTGTACCAATAACGATTTGATCATTTGGTCTATCAACTAAATCTCATACATGATTTCTTTCAAATTGATTTAGTTCTTCTTGCATTGCTAGAATCCAAAACTCATCAAATTTGGCTTCTTTGAAATTCTTTGATTCAATTTGAGAAATGAAAGCACAATTATTTAAAAAAAATTTGGTAGAATTTCTAGTACTTACACTTTTGGAAGGATCACCAATTATGAGCTCCTTTGAATAAGAGGGAACAAACCTCCATTCAATAGGAAGTGTTGGATCATTTTGATTTTTGGAAGATTCTCCTTCTCCTTGTTGAGAAATTGGTTCTTCCAAATCTTTATCTTCAATATCTTTAGAATTTTCCTTGTTGTGATCTTGAATAGTCATTTGCTCAAAAAGAATTTCCAAACCTACATCAACACATTTCTCTTGATCAAAAGAATTAGTTTCATCAAATGTAACATGCATGAATTCTTCCACTACTAGAATTTTTTTGTTGAAAACTCTAAAAGCTTTGCTAGTAAGTGAATATCCAAGAAAGATTCCAATATCGAATTTTAAATCAAATTTTCCCAAATTTTCTTTTGTATTTATAACGAAACATTTGCAACAAAAAACATTTAAATAACAGATATTGGGAACTCTATTTTTCAAAAGTTCATATAGAGTTTTAGTTTTCTTTCGACTTACCAAAAAATCTATTCATAATGTAGCAAACGGTGTTAACGGCTTCGGGCCAAAAATATTTGGGTAAATTTTTTTATTTAACATAGTCCTAAACATATCTTGTAATGTGCGATTTTTTCTTTATAGGAGTCGAAAAATTATGTTCATATCAATTTTCTTTACAAAAGTAATCAAAAGCAATATTATCAAGTTCTCCACCATGATCACTTCTAATGGTTATAATAGAGTATTATTTTTCATTTTGAACATTTTTACAAAAATGTTCGAATATTTTTAAAGCCTCAATTTTTAAGTTCAAAAACAAAATCCAAGCAAATCTTGAGAAGTCGTCAACAATAACAAATGCATAGTGCTTACCACTTAAACTTGAAGTTTTAGAAGGTCAAAAGAGATCCATGTGAAGAAGTTGTAAAGGTTTTGTGGTTGAAAAAAATTGTTTAGTTTTGAAAGATCTTTTTGTTTGTTTTCCAAATTGGCAAGTATCACAAATTTTGTCCTTTTCAAATTTCAGATTTGACAGACCTTTAAACAAGTAAGTTTTTGAGATTTTTGAAATTAGGTCCATACTTACATGGCCTAATCCTTTAAGCCGTAACCAAGTATCATCTTTAAAATTTGACAAACATTTTAATTCTTTTCCAAATTCAATGTTAATGACATAAGCATCTTTGCTTCGGCTTCCTATGAACAATACCTCTTTCGATGTAGCATCTTTTATAAGGCATTTAAAATAATCAACTTTGATATGATAACCTTTATCACATA